AAAAAATAAAAAATAAAAATAAAACGATAAACGATGGGTTGCCTCCCAACAAGCGCTTAATTTAACGTCTTTAGCTAGACGTCTTCCGAGTTCTCAATAAGGATCATTCCCGTTCATTCCAATCTCCTCCTTGATCTTCTCATGGCGTCGGCTACCGTCCTTTGGCTCTTGAATCTTCCAACCACGACCTAGTGTAAAAGTTCGGCATTTATCATAAGCTCGAAACGTGATCTCACCAAGCTCCATGTCAATAAGTACTCGTCCGGTGGCTAGGAATGGCCTTCCTAAAATCAACGGTGTATCACCGTTATCCTTCATATCTACCACCACAAAATGCGCCGGAAACTTAATTCCATCAACCATCAACCAAACATCCTCTACAACTCCGGTGGGACGAACTTGGGATTTATCCACCATTTGAAGAGTGATCATAGTCGGTTGAAGCTTCTCTAATCTCAACTTTTCATAAACCGAGAGCGGCATCAAGTTGACACCTGCCCCTAAGTCGCATAGCCCTTTCCCGGTATATAATTCTCCAAATGCACAATCGATATAAAATCCTCCGGGATCTTCACACTTAACAGGACGGTCTCTATGTAGTAGTGCACTACTCTCCTCCGTGAGTGTAACCACCTCATGAACCTCGGTCGGCCTCTCCATATTCTCTTTCTCATGCACTTTCTCTACCTCAATCCGAACGTCATCTCTTGCCTCTTGAGCATCCTCAACTTTGCAATCCTCTGGGGTGATCTTCGTACTACTTGAAAATTGGCCCTCTTGATCTAGATTCTCGACCATTGCGGCCATTTGCCCAATTCGCTCCTCCATAGACTTCATTTGATTCTTTATCGTAGAGAACTTAGCAAGAGTGTTACCCATGAATTCTTGCGTCAGAGTCATGAACGAGGCGAACATATCTTCAATTGTCGGCTTCTTCGGCTCATTGATGACCCTTGACACTGCAATCACCCCGATTGTCTCGTTCTTCATCCCTTGCATGCCGTTAAGCACCATTGCGGTCACTTGAGTTGCCAACTCCAAAATTGGGTCCCTCTCGTTGGCTATCGCCACCTTCTTGAGCATCGTCCGCTCAACCGGCCACTGATAACTGTTGGGCGCCATCTCCTCGATAATTTTCAGCGCCTCATGTGAACTCCGTCCCAAAAGAGCGCCTCCGGCCGAAGCATCTACTATTGCCTTCATGTTTCCACTCAACCCATTGTAGAAGTAGCATATTTGATAATCCTTGGAAAACCCATGTTGTGGGCATCTCCAGAAGAGTTGCGTGAAACGTTCCCAAGCCTCATAAAATGGCTCTCCATCTTGCTGCTTGAACTGGGTTATCTCGGTTTGAAGCCTTAACATCTTACTTGGCGGAAAAAAATTCAATAAGAATTGTTGGTGCATGTCATCCCATGAAGTGACCGTCCCGGCTCTCAACGAGTTGTACCACATCTTCGCCTTATCTCTCAAAGAAAAAGAGAAGAGACGAAGCTTTATTGCGTCATCCGGCACTCCATTAATCCTGATCGTCCCGCATATCTCCAAAAATTGCGCAAGATGCGCGTTCGGGTCTTCAGTTTCACCTCCCCCAAACTGCTCTTGTTGCACTATTTGAATTAATTCGGGACTTAATTGAAATGTATTGGCTGCTATCCTCGGTCCATGGTCTCCACCAAAGTATTGATTTTTCGGCGGTTGGAAAATTGATCGAATCGGGTTGCCTTGCACTGTTTGGGCCTGTCGCTCGGCCACTTGACGTTGCAACTCCACCAATTGCTCTTCGAGTTGTCTTATAATTTCCATTTGCTCGGTCATTGTAATCTCGCAAGAAAGAAAAAAAGAAAAAAAAAATATTAGAAAAGAGAAAAAGAAAAATAAAATAAAATAAAATAAGGTCTAAATTAATATTTATTCGCTTTCTTCTAATATTAATTAATTTAACAAACAATCCCCCGCAACGGCGCCAAAAACTTGTTCGCTAATTATTTTTGCTATCCGCAAGTGTACAGCGTAGCTATAGGTAGTGGCGAGCAAGGTCGTATTCCACATAGATTGTAGTTAAATTAATTAAGTACTAAAATAATAACGATTAAATATTATTTAGACTAACGAATGAGATGATGATTCTAAACTATGAAATTAAACTAAAAACTAATTTA